GCATGGTTCGTCGTATCGTCGTATCGTACTGGTACTGGAGGTATTGCAGCATCTCGACGAGTGGCAACCTTCCCTCCAAAGGTCGCAGCTGTTAGTTTTCCCGATGAGGGCTTGGGGACCTGCCCCGCACAGCGTCGGCGTAACTACGACGGCTGGGCGAAGAGCTCGGCGAAAGTGACGGAGAGCGGGGTCGATGATACAGAGCAGATGGCTGTCCCTGCGGGTGCGCGCTGTCACGTCGGGTGTCGAAACGAGGTCGTGAAAAAGTCGGCGCATAAGTCGGGTATCTTTCTTCACGACATGGACAGATGCGGTAGACAAGTCCTGCTTCTCCGCAATTGAAACACAGTGGACGGCGGTCGACGGTGCGCCACAGATCCGTCTTCCGAACGAATGGTCGACTGGTAGGCACCCTCGGCGACCAAGTTGCAGGTGTCGGCGGAGGGTAGAACGGCGGGTAGAACGGAGTTTCAGTAGGTGCGTTAGGTGCGTTATATTGCGGAGTCGTCGTCGTTGGTGATGGTGGCGGCGGCGGTGGGTCGTAGACTGGTGGCGCCGGCGTGTTGTAAGAATGAGCCAGTGCAGGCGAGTTGTGCGGCACTGGCGATGGACGACGGGTGGCTGCCGCATAGTTAATAGATCGCTGGGCTGGTAGTGATTCGGGCTCATACTGGGCTAACCAGTCCTCAACGTCTTCATACGCCTCACCATGGAATGTTTCCGGAATCGTAGGCTGCTCAAATGTCAGCTGGGAAGCACCTGCACCTGCACTCCAGGCGGAGTGCTATGCTGGGAAAGTTCCAGGGGAATCGCCTCAGGACTAAGGCCTCGCTGTCGGCGACTGTAGCGGTGGACAGGGGTATCCACTGAAGGAACGGGTTGCGGTGTCGGACTTGAAGTGCCAGGCCGCGGAGGAGTCCCGAGCATCAGTCGTAGAAGTCCAGCACCTCCACCAGTGTCGCAACGTGCAAAGAACAGGACACAAGGCTTCCTTTCGACGTTAACAGCAAGGCTCTATTGGCACACAAAAACAAAGCGCAAGAGCAGACGCGCAACGTCGTCTTCCTCGAAAACGCAAGAGACCACCACACGTGATGCTGGCTTCTTCCTCCTTTTGTGCTTACGGCTAATAGCCGTGACAATATGTATATGAGAGACGCCGTAGTGGAGGGCTCCGGAAATTTCGACCAACTGGGGTTCTTTAACGTGCACCCAAATCTGAGTACACGGGCCTACAACATAATTACCGCCTCCGTCGGAAATGCAGCCGCCACAGCCGGGATTCGATCCCACGACTTGCGGGTCAGCAGCCGAGTACCTTAGCCACTAGACCACCGTAGCGGGGCCTTGTTCACTGTCTGCTAGCCGCATATTTGTCTGCTAAGCTGGCGCATCCTGCATTTCAAAGTCCATCTGGAATAAAAATTGGTACGTGGATGCAAAAAAACGAGTGTATGAAACACTTTACATATGAATTACTTATTAAAACTGCAAAGAAGAAAAAATAACTTAAAAACGCAGGATGCATCAGCTAAGCAAACAATAATGTGGTTAGCAGACGACGAACAAACGCACCCAAGACGTGGTGCGCCCCGGTGGAAAGTGTACCGCGGCGCACATGCTGCGCATGTGCAATGTTTGCATCGATGGCTTTAACGCGGCGCTTGATAGTGCCGTCGGCCATGCGCTCGCGTGTTCACCCTAACAGTTCTCCCAGCTGCACAAGCACCACAACCGGCAGAAGAGTGAAGCTTTCAGGCACCCAATACAAAGCACGCCAAAGACTATCTTTTCTGCGCGCCTGAAATGAAGAACGAAGCTGCCAAAGTGGCCTCACCTTCTTACTAAAAGTGACGCAAATGAAAAAAAAAATTTGAGGCTGGTGGGGCATGTCGGCGCAGCATGGTGCAAAAAAAAAATATTATTCTGCCGAAAAAATGTATCTGCTGTTCGCACGTGGTGCCAAGCATGCTTTTTTTAACAATGACTTGCCCAAAATACTTAGGGAAAACCCAAAGAAATTCTGGCAAGTAATAAACCCAAGTCATGTTAGCGCCTTAACACTTGCTGATGATTCGGGAAACATTATGTCTGATACTGACTGCGCCACAGCTTTCAACAATGCCTTCGTCTCAGTTTTTACTGAGGATACTCGTGCTCCTCTACCTTTACTGTTTAGCAACATAGTATCCAGTATGCCGGCCATTACGTTCAGCGTAGATGGTATTTCAAATGTGATTGATTGATTGATTTGGAGGGTTTAACTTCCCAAAACCACCATATGATTATGAGAGACGCCGTAGTGGAGGACTCCGGAAATTTTGACCCCCTGGGGTTCTTTAACGTGCACCCAAATCTGAGTACACGGGCCTACAACATTTCCGCCTCCATCGGAAATGCAGCCGCCACAGCCGGGATTTGATCCCGTGACCCGAGGGTCAGCAGCCGAGTACCTTAGCCACTAGACCAGCGTGGCGGGGCTTTCAAATGTGATCGATAACCTAATCTTTCGTCCTGCGCCGGTATTGATGGTATTAACTCAAAACTGTTAAGAAACACTAAAGATATATTCTCGTCATTTTTGTGTCTGTTGTTTGCTCAGTCGCTTTCAGTCGGTTGCATTCCTCACGACTGGAAAGTGGGAAAAGTCATTCCCATTTACAAAGCAGGTAACAGGCTTCACCCGCTAAATTATCGCCCCATCTCCCTCACGAGTCTGCCAAATAAAAACATAGAGCACGTCATTTACTCACTCATTATGGACCATTTGGATGCCGATCATTTCTTTCATCCTGTACAACAAGGATTCCGCAAGGGCCTTTCTTGCGAAACGCAGCTGCCTCTTTTCATTCACGACCTTCATACGAATCTTGACTGTAACAGACAAACTGACGCTATCTTCCTCGACTATGAAAAATAGTTTGACAAGGTTTCTCACCGAAACTTGTTACATAAGCTTTCCTTCTTAAACTTAAACTCCGACATACTAAAATGGCTTCAAGCGTTCTTAGTCAACCGTTCGCGATTCGTCAGCGTCAGTGATCAGTCCTCGGTCCCACTTCCGGTTACTTCAGGTGTTCCCCAGGGATCTGTTCTTGGCCCACTTCTTTTTCTGGTATATATCAATGACTTACCCCTTCATGTAACTTGTAAAATCCTTATGTTCGCAGAAGACTGCATGATTTATCATACCATTAACAATATTACTGGCGCAGATACATTACAGCAAAATCTTAACCACGTGCAGTCTTGGTGTACCCGGTGGCTAATGACTCTCAATCCAAAAAAAAATTGCAAACATATATCATTTACCCGTAGTCACAGCCCCATTACTTCTCATTACATGATAGCCAATAGTCTCATTGAAACAGTCTCATCATTCAAGTACCTAGGAGTCTTAATTTCATTTGACCTTAACTGGGGCACACATATAAATAGCATTCTGTCATCGGCGAACCAATCACTCGGCTTCTTGAGGCGACACTTACCTCATGCCCCACGCGACGTAAGATTACTAGCGTACATAACACTAATCATGCCTAAAGTTGAATATGCTTCACCAATCTGGGACCCATTTCAAAAATACCTCATCAACGCACTTGAGTCTCTTCAAAATCTCGCAGCAAGATTCATTCATTCATCCTACTCATATGACGTAAGCATATCCGCCCTAAAAGAAAAATCTAAACTACAAGCTCTCTTACACTGTCGTACAATATCCAGCCTGGTCTTTTTCATGTTTTTTTTTTTTTTTACAGTTCACTTAACCGCATGCCGTACATTACCCCACCATCAAGAATATCGCAAGGCACTGGTCACCCGCTACAGGTTTCAAAACCGCGCACACACACTACTACCTCCTCTACTTCATTTTTTTTATCGTACAGCGTCAGAGTGGAATGCCCTTCCGTACCATGTTGTATCTACAAATAACCGTCATGTTCTATGCTGCTGTGTCTTCTGTTTTACCAAATTAGTTGCCATTGATTGTACTTAATGCGAGTCTTTATTTCCAGTGTTCATTGTTTGTTAGTGTATTTATTTGTACAGTGTTCTTTTTGTGCAAGATTTTTAATGATTATTACGTTATATAGCCACATCATGTTGTTTCTTCTAATGTTGCCAAACTAATTAGCACGTGTTCTCGTTTTCACAGTGCTTCAACATTTCTTTCTTTTACTTTCTCCTCTTTCTCCAAAGTTCTATTGGTTTTTATTTTTATTTGGATTTACCCATTACATGATGTCCCCCACCCCTTATGTAACACCCCTATAAATGGGGCCTTTAAGGAAATAAACTGAACCGAATTTCAACAAATTCCACGCTTTTGGCTCAACTTGGCACCGAGGTCTTACCCATGAGCTAGTAGCACAGAAAACTAGCTTATGAACATTGCACTCCATGAACTCTGCCCCCTCTACAGCCTGGTATTCATTATTCACAATGCAGTTAAATGTTGGAAGCCAAGATAATTATCAAAATACATTGTTATGCTATATTGCAATGCAACTTTTTTCATGAATAAAAATCTTCTAAAGACTATCTGCATCTTTCAAACCTTCTGTTTAGCATGACTCGCAGAAGCGTTCAGGGCAGTGTGCCTAGCCAATTTCATTGAGATCATCCAACCTCCAAATGCCAAATGAGCTGCAATTTCATATTGTACCTTCATGCTATGGCTTCTATTTTATTCCCTTGAAATATGAATTGACCTCCCAACTAGATAGGATGTCATCCCAATAATATTGACACCACCAGAAAATATCAACGCGGTTATAAGTGAAACTACACACGATTTAGATTAACGTCATGACTGACACAATAAAGCAGCGAGAGCTACCTTATAAAGATACTGAACATAAATGATGCAATGATCTCCAACACCTCTGTAGCAAGGCCACAGAAGCTAACAAGAAATATAAAATTGATGGTCAAGATCCACACATATGCATGCACTCAATCAAATGGCAAAATAACTCGCAAGGATACATGATCACGTAATATGTCATGGGACAGAATTACAGGCTGTTTATTGCAAGAAAGAATTTCAACTGTATATATGTACATGTAATGGCATAAAGCATGCCACTCAGTATGCATACATCGGTAACATGTGCAGAAGGTATTGTAATGATGGAGCAGAAAAGACTATGGAAGACTGGAATTATCAGAAGACTACACACCCAGAAACAAACCTGTCTTCCCATAATAGGTAAAAAGCAGGCCAGCCGTTCGCAGCAAATGACGAGAAAACTACAAACATTGCCAACTGCCCAGTCCGCACAAAACATAAGGCAGTGCCAAGTCATTGAAGTCACACAAAGCCAACAATGCCACAATACTGCAGTCACAAGCTGTAGACATCAGCAGATGAGCAGATTAAAAAGTTCTGCCCGATGTTGCAGAAAAATGTAGACAACGAAGCTTCCCAGCTGCTGCCTCTAGCTTGGGACATTTGCATATAGTAGTGGACATGAAAAAAATGAATAGAGTCGCAAATATGAATAGAATGACACAGCACACAATACATAAACTGCTATGAATAAGAACTGGGAAAATAAAAGGAGGCAGATGATGCCACTTCTTGAGATAAAGAATGACCATGTGAAATGACTGGATACCAGTCAATAAGGATTCGACTCCAGAGGATGAAGTGCGTTAAGCATTCCGGAGGGGAAAAAATAAGTTAGCAAGGAAATGTGCCACGTACACCAAAGAATTGTAAAGGAAAGCCACGAGGACCGATCCTTAAGTGTGGCAGCTTAACGATGACTACTCAAGAACGAGCATCGTCCTTGCACAACCACTTTCAAATAGAGCAGTCACTTAGAGCTTAACTATAAATCTTGTTACATAGGGTGTTGGCAGATTTGTAAGCTAATAACAAAAGTGTTTCGTTCGCCACAGCTCCAGAGACTTCACGTCTGCCAATAACAAGTGGAAGACAACAAGGGCAGTTCAATTGAACATCTTGCACTTGCCTAAAATACTAAGAATGCTCACTAGGAGGCAAGCTTTACAAGCAAAAATATCAAACTGTTGTAATTAAGTACTTCAGTGTCACTTAGAAATAAGAAACTATGAATATGTACTTGCAAAGCAGACACGGTCAAAACTGTGGTAATTTTAACATACAAACGACAATGCCTACACATCTGTAGTCTCTAATTAGATAGTCCCGAGCAAAAAATTAAGTTATGGAAATTCGAGTGAAGCACTCGGCAAGGACTACGCAGCTTTGCAGCAACGCATTAGAAACAATGCAAAATTACAACCGCTATGACATCTACATAAGGCTAAGAAACCACAATGAGCTACAATAATTATATCTGGTGCAAGTACCTTGCTTATCTTTCTGAAGAAGCAGCAGATCTTTTTTCCCACGTGCTCACTTGGCCCATTGAAGCACTCAACACTTTAATTGAGAGATGTAAAAAAATTCAGACTGGGGAATGCTAAAAGGTATATGCATAACTGAATGAGATTACAGACAAAGCTGCTCAATTGAAAAGTGGCTGCACAAAAAAAATAATTGTTTCGTTGCAATCAATGTGAACGTTTGGTATAGTCCTTAAGAAGAGGATGACAAATCTTCCTCGGAGCTTTCTTCGAGCGAGTCGAAGGACGAAGCTGTAAGGAGCGACTCCGCACTGCTCGCAAGTGACCGCGCAATGGTGGCAAAATTGTAGCGCAAGTCCACACACTCATCTTCTATCTTCGTAAGCAGAGTGTCAAGCTTGGAGACAACAGTGTCCACATTGTCCTGGTTGAACACCATGGGTGGCTTGAACTTGAGCACATTGCCGTACTTGCCCTCCGTACTCAGCAGCACACCACTTTGCTTGAGCCTACACAGAAATCCAGGGAGTAGGGAGAGAGGTGTGAAATACACGCAAGCCAAACATGCAGGATTATCGATGCCTTATATACTTTGCTTCGCTCATTAAAACAAATGAGTCTTGCTTAAGAACAAAGAAAAAAAAACACTTGATACTCATCAGTTCTTAAACAAATCAAACTTGGAACAAGACATGGAATGCCATTCCTAGTACTGGCCAACCTCAATATAAGCAACTACGGACCAAGACTCTGCTGCTGAACCGCAGGTCGCGGGATCGAATCCCAGCTGCCGCAGCTGCATTTCTGATAGAGGCGGAAATGTTGTAGGCCCGAGTGCTCAGATTTGGTACACGTTAAAGAACCCCAGGTCGTCGAAATTTCCGGAGCCCTCCACTACGGCGTCTCTCATAATCGTATGGTGGTTTTGGGACGTTAAACTCCACAAATCAATCAATACAAACTAAGACAGATGCGCGAACTCCAGCCCGGCGCAACTTGTTCACATGGAACGAATAAGTTGGCTATCACAAGGACAGAAACCACGATTCGTGACTGCTAGATTACAGTAATCTCTCCTCTGCAGCTTTTCTTCACAGTGAGCAGGCCAGCTGGCACAACAAAATAAGCAGGAAGCAGAGTTACAGAATGTATCCCTTTCAGACGAGCGTGCTCAGAGCTTTATGATAATGAGCTTAAATTTAATTACTGCACACAAAAGTAAAGTATGTGCATCTTTGCAACGCGAGTGTGTAACCAATGTATACCATCATCAAATTTAATTTTGGCATAATATGTGTTTACTACAATAAACCAGTGTAAACAAACAAAACAAGCCTTAAGAGAAAAACTGACAGGCTCAAATTACTAAAATGCACAGGAGAAAGTGAAACAGATTATACAGCTTGCATAAGGAAGGAATTTAAAAGCAAGCAAACCCAAACTACCTTGAAGTCCTGAGTGAGCGGCTAACGCCACCTAGCCTTAATACATATAGTCGGGTATAACTTAAGAAGGCAGCAGCATTTTCTCCTCAAAAGATGTACACGAGCCTCCAGCAATAGACGCACACTTCAGGTGACGTCATGCGCCGGACTACACTCTAGCCGCTGACCCAGCCAACGTAGAACATGCCTAACATGGCCGCCCTCGCTTCGAACTGGGCCGAGTCCCATTTGCTGTGTGCATCTCCTTTCGTCAGAGTGAATTCGAATTATGTGTGACATTCTGTCATGCCGGATAGATTACTGTGAGCTTACGATACACAATTTGTGCGACGTGTGTTTGTTCTGAGCCGCGAGCTGGCGAAGAGAGATTGCAGCGAACATCAATGACACTGCACTGCGCTTCGTCTGAAAACGGGATCCCACGGCGACATACCGATGCACAAACATTGTACATGTTTGTTTCATGGTGTTTTATTTGCATCTAAGCGAAGTTACAACGAGAAGAGTTTGCCAAAGCCTGGTATTTACAGTGAGCGGTGAGTGTTTCTGTACTGTGCCCCTGCGTTTCTCATCTGGCGTGGCAAAGTGATGGAGCAAAAACATTATCAGAAAAATGAGAAAAGCGTGCGCACATGAAACTAACTAACAAGTTTCCCAACAGAAAAAATTTGCAATAGCAAGCTCCAACGCAAGGATTCGTTGATGCGAACTGAGCGCGCAAACGACCGATCGGTGGCGGCAGTGTGACGAGATATTCGAGAGCCAAGCATCGTGGTTCGAGTGTTTTGTAGAACCGTCGATCGATTGCTTTCCACCAATACTAACAATCAGTGACAAACACGCGTTGCTTCAAAGAATGTCATTGGATTATTCACCGAAATTATTAACGGTCAGCTGTATGGGAGCAGTGTTTGTTCCCTTCATGTTAGCCTCAGTGCTAATATACAATTATGACTGATACACTGGTGCCGTTACAAGGGAGCTCGGCATAAATTCACGCCGCTGTGTGGCTTGGAACTCTTCGCTCGCTGCACGCCCCAGCTGTAGAATGCCTGCTGCGACACGATCACGCGTAAATAGTGCTGCCAGCGCTCAACTTGCTTTCCCACAACACAGCTTCGCACTGCTTTTCGCTTGCGATACACCAATTTTGACCTTGGCCCATACAAGCTCAATGGGATTAAATTCGCAATGGTACGGTGGGAGCCTGAGTACAATGCAACCGGCCCTTACAGCTGGGTTTTTGACGATGTAGTTCAGAAAGCGTTACATTACAGATGCCACCAGCTCAAGCGGCTGCATCTTGATCATCCTATTATCCTAGGTGATGTTCTTACTTGCGAGCCACTCCTGTATCTCTTCCTTCTTCCAGGCCGTCATCGACAATTTCTCTTCTTGCCAGCCATTGTAAAGTGCATTATCTAAAACAATGACGCTACCAGCTGGCAACTTCTGCAGAACCTCATTAAACCAGCCCTCACAGCGATTGCAGTCTATTTCCTCGTAGTAGTCACCTGTCTTTTGGCCTTTGAATAAATTGAAGCAGCCGTCGACGAAGCCATCCTCGCTGCCCATGTGCATCATGATCAGGCGCCGATATTTCCCAGAAGGTTGTTTAAGACCCGTAGGGCCATTTGCTCAAGCGAACAGGCATCCGCGCTTCTGCACCATGGTGTCTCCACATGATCGACCGAGCGTGTCCCGCCGTGACCCATGTCGCGGCCAGGTAGATCTTTCGGCCTTCTACCCGGTAATGCTCCACGTTACAAAGATAGTGATTACTCCAATCAGTGATGTCATCCCTGTCAATAAGGAGCGAGTTGCGGCTTCTCTTTTCATGCTTGAAGCCGATATCGACAAGCACGCGACGCACAGTACACCGCCTTAGTGATGAGAGTTCCATACGCTCCGAGAACTCTGCCGATATCTTATCGACCGACAGTATCTCAATGCGGCGAAAGAAATCGTGCACACATGACCTCATTGCACACAATGTGAAGCTGTCAAACTTCACGTTGCGTCTTCTCTCATCCCCATTGCATGGGCGCTTTCGCAAGGCCGTCATCAGTTTGCCACCCGAAAAATCCGAAGCTTTAACTTCCTCCCTCACCCTGAACACAGTCCTTTCGCCGACACCAAGCATGTCGGTGATGAACTTGCTCGTGTCCTCCACGCTGCGTTCAGGCTCCCTGTTGCGCCAGTACATGTAGCAGTGGAAGATCATGTTGCGTGAATCGCTGTTGAGGATGTGGCCGCTCTTGTTCTTGCTGAAGCTCCTCGGTGGTGTGGCCATGGAGGCGACACAAAGCTCGTACGGCAACGAAGAATCCCATTCCTATGTCACCTCACTGGGCTACATGGTAGAAAACTTGCACGGAACAGTTATTCAATCATATGAGTTTCGAAACTCTCTAGAGGCTCCATGTATCAAAATACAAACCCGTCATTAGCCCCCTTGTCGGGAGTGAGCAGGTTGTCACGCCACCTGTTGATCTGCACTCCCACTATTAAATGCAATGTTTGTGCTTTGTGTTGTTGCTTCCAGGTGGCACGCACGTCAGCTAACTCCCAAAAAGTAAGGCCAAGTGTGTGTCCGAATTTCGGAGCGCAGTTTCGCAACTGGTATAATTGAATAACTCTGGCTCAGAATGCCGTGCGCCAACGTGCGCGAACTCGCGAGATTGCAGGTTCACAACCAAAAAAAAAAAAAGACCTAACAAATCGAAAAAACAAAAAAAAAAAACCTTGTGCAAACACACAAAAGTGCATACGAATCTTATGCTATGAAACCAGCAATTGCTTTACAATTGAACGCCCAGTGCCGTAGATCTTGCTCCGTAGCAGACGACGCACAGCATTGTAGAAGGCACGGAGTCATTGTAGAAGGCACGGAAATGTTGTAGGCTCGTGTGCTCAGATTTGGGCGCACGTTAAAAAACCCTAGGTGGTCAAAATTTACGGAGCCCTCCACTACGGCGTCTCTCATAATCATATGGTGGTTTTGGGACGTTAAACCCCACATATCAATCAAGCAGTCACACTTTTTTGAGCGCGACTATTTCTTAAGTCATAGAGCGAATTGGCTGCTGTGCTCGGGTCATCTGGCCAGGGCCTTTCCTGCCTTCTTAAGTTGTGCGCGACTATAATCAACAAAAACTAAGTTTATCTTTTTTTTTTCTGTGGTGCTCAGAATGCCTGCCTGCTCTTTCTTAAAATACTAGAATGTAAATACCTATTTTCTTGCTGGAGTTAAGAATGAAATGAATTCCCAGCCAAGCCTGGATTCCAAAAAGGAATAAAAAGTAAAATTCAACCCGGCTATTGCCACCTTGACTACCTATCGGCTATCACGTGGCAGACGGAGCGGGGTTTGTCAATGGTCATTCTTCTGAAAGCAATTGTGCAGTGTGGTTGTGCCTCTTGCTCACGAAATGCCTGTGTAAATTGTGCTTCACATTCAATGGCACCAACCAAGCAGTGCCACTACAGTGCGGCGTTTAAGCAGAAGGTCGTGTTACATGCGGAAAAGACATCGAACCTACGAGCGCAGCAAGAGTTTGGCGTGCACGAAAAAAATGTTCGACGATGGCAAAAACAATGCGTGGAACTCTTCGGTTGTGAAGCAACTGGCATGGCATTCACTGGACCGAAAACGGACCGACACTATGCGGTTGTCGCCGATTTTGTTCGAGAACGGAGAGAAGCGGGAATACCCATGACAACTGAAATTATCCAGGCGAAGGCCAGAGAAGTCACCATAGCGAAGGGCGTCTTACAAGCCTGTTTTAAAGCCAGCAGGGGCTGGAGAACATGTTTCGTGGTTTGGATTCAGCCTGCGACGACAGACCTGCTAGTGTCAAAAGCTTCCAAATAACTTCGAGGAGAAGCTCGCGAAGTTTCAGCGGTACGTAATGAACAAACGCCGAGAAAACAGCTACCAACTGGGACAAATCGCGAATGCCAACCAGACCCCGGTGTTCTTTGATATGCCGATGACGTACACCGGGAACGAGAAGGGTGCGAAGGAAGTGAAGCTCAGGATGACGGGTTACAAGAAATATCGA